AACGCATAGCCCAAACCACTGGACGGATCGGGCTGAAATTTGACATGTAGGTAGATGTTAGGACGTAGGCATCCCTTAAGAAAGGATTTTGATTAATTCTACCCCAAAGGGGATAAAATAGGAGATGAAAGTTTGAGTGAAAATTTGTCAATATTAAACCAATCGGGCTGAGACTTTGCATGCATAAAGCTACTATAACGTAGGCATCCCCTAAGAAAAGATTTTGATAAATTCCACCCCTAAGGGGATAAAATAGGGGATGAAAGTTTGTATAAATATTCTTAGGTTTTCGACTGAGTGAACTAAAATTAAAGATTGGAGCTACTATCATGAAGACGTTCGCTTAAATAGGATTTTGATAAATTCAACCCCCATGGGGATAAAATAAGGGATGATGCAGAATGCAAATGTATTAGTTTAAACCTATCAGTACCTAATAGAACGAATAAATTAAGATTTTTAGTTCTTTAGGCTACTTTTATTTTAGAAAAATAAAGTTATATTTCACGCGGACGAAGTCGCGGGAACATCTATTAAAAAAATAAAATTATGATTTCAATTTACGACCCGGTGGTCTAGCGGTCTACACCGCTTAACGTCCGATGGTCGCGGGTTCGATTCCTCGCACGGCACAAACATTTGTAATCATGAGTATGATTGTTTGTATCGGTCTGGGTATTTTCTATATATAATATATGTATCATGTATTTACGAAATAAAAAAAATCTATATATTAGTATCAGTTGTCTAGTACCCATAAAATAAGCTTTAGCTAGCTTAACTTGGGACTAGATGGCGTTGTGTGAATTGTCCTGAGATTATTCAAATTCAAATTCAAATTCAAATTCAAAAATCATTTATTCATGTAGGACATTTTAGCCGCTTATGAACGTCAAATTTTTACATTATAATTTTATTTTTTTCCCTACCGTCCAGTTCGGTATATAGATCCAATTGAGAAGAACTGGCAAGAAACTCAATTGAATTACTTTTTTTTTTAAAGCCAGTTTATTTACAATGTATTATATAATATAGGTGTCTATGTCTAACATTAAATGAAAATTCAGTGCATGAACAACTATTGCCATGCACACTCGTCATTCAAGTAATCGTTTAGTGAGTAATAGGCTTTGCTCAGTAAATATGATTTAACAGATGTTTTGAATTTATTTAAGGGTAATTCCAACATATCCTTTGGTATCTTATTGTAAATTTTTATACCTATTCCCATAAAAGACCTATTAACTTTTTCTAAACGATACTTGGGGACAGCAAGTTTGTCTTTAAATCTTGTATTAATATTATGAATATTGCTGTTTTTTGGAAATAAGTCAAGATTTTTATGAACATATAAGATATTTGAATATATAAATTGAGAAGCAACGGTGAGAATATTTGCCTCTTTGAATTTCTCTCTTAATGAGTCACGACTCTTCATACAGTAGATCGCTCGAACGGCACGTTTTTGTAATATGAATATATTTTTAATATCTGCCGCTTTTCCCCATAGTAATATTCCATAAGAAAGTAAACTATGAAAATAACTAAAATAGACTAATCTAGCAGTATCAGTATCGGTGTACTGTCTAACCTTACGCACGGCAAAAGCTGCTGAACTTAATTTCGCTGCAAGGCTTTGAATTTGTGCACCCCATTGTGTTTTATTATCTAGTGTGATTCCTAGAAAGACAGTAGATTCTATAAATTCGAGAGATTCGTCATTTAATTTAATATTGCAATTAGTATTAAAACTTTTAGACAGAGAGAAATTAACACATTTTGTTTTTTTAGCGTTTAACATAAGATTGTTAGTTGTAAACCAGTGCAGGAGACGCCGCAAAGCACTATTTACATCGTCATAATTATTAGTCATTCTATTAACTTTAAAAATCAATGAAGTATCGTCTGCAAATAATACTATGCCGCATCTATCCTGCATGGTATATGGGAGATCATTAATGTAAACTAGGAATAAAAATGGACCGAGAATAGATCCTTGAGGTACACCCATTTGCACAAGTGACCCGTCAGACGTAGCGTTGCTAACCTTCACTTTCTGTATTCTATCAGATAGATAAGATTTTATTAAATTTAAAGCATTGTCTTTGACGCCATAAAAAGCAAGTTTTTTTAGCAATGTATTATGATCAACGCAATCAAAAGCCTTAGAAAGGTCACAAAAAACACCTATCGCATCCATTTTAGTTTCCCATGCAGCAAATACGTGTCTAAGCAACTCTGCACCTGCGTCTGTAGTTGAACGACCTTTGGAAAAACCGAATTGACTATTGTGGATTAAATTATTTAAATTGAAATAACTGACAAGCTGCATAAGGATTATTTTTTCAAAAATTTTACTGAGTGCTGGGAGTATAGATATAGGTCTATAATTTATTGGGTCACTCCTATCTCCAGATTTAAAAAGCGGTATGATTTTACTAATTTTCATTATGTTAGGAAATTTACCTTCATCTATACATTTATTGAAAATAAAAGCAAGAGAGGGCGCAATAATTTCCATTATACTATCCAGTATTTTAACAGATATACCCCATAGATCCTCTGTTTTTTTATTATTAAGCTGTTTGAATATTTTCATTATTTCTACTGATGATGTATGTCTAAAGTTAAATACAGCTGATGACTTGCTAACATTGTCTGTTAGTAAAGTTTCAGCAGCAGACGGGGAAGATTTTAGAGCCTGTGTCGTAATTAATGGAATATTAGTGAAATAAGATTCGAATGTATCCGCGACCTCTGTGTCGGAATTTACCAATTTGTTATTAATATTTAAAGCTATTTTGCTATTTTGAAAATTAACTTTTCCAGTTTCGCTATTTATTACTTTCCAAGTGGCTTTTATTTTATCTTTAGATTTAGTTATTATTTTACCTAAATAGAGAGACTTAGCTGTATGACAAACCTTTTTAAATATTTTCGAATAAGATTTTACATGTTCATGAAATAAGGGATCGGATATATAGCTTCGTTTTTCGTAAAGTTCGTAAAGATTAGCCCTAGACTTATAAATACCAAACGTGGCCCAGTCACAAAACTTTGATTTAACACTAGTTGAAAAGGTTTTTGTTTTAAATTCACTGCTAGCTTCATGTTCAATTAAATTAAAAATATGTTCACATACAATGTCCGGGTCATATTGAGGTACTATGACACTAGATATTTTATGTTCAATTTTATTTTTAAAACGTGCCAAATTCTTTTGTGTTATTTGTCTGCATGTAATTGTTTGAGTCCCTTTGGATCCCTTAGTTTCAATTATAACTTTTTGTCCATAATGATCAGATCCAAGACAGTCGAAATTCATTTTCACCTTTACTTCACAATTACAAAAAACATTATCTATACAAGTGGCAGAATTGCCTGCGACCCTAGTGGGTTCTAAAAAAAGATTGTGCAAATTAAATGATTTAAATAAGTTAATCAATCTTAAGCTTATTGAGCATTCCGATAATAAATCAACATTAAAATCGCCACATACAAATAATGTTTTATTCCTCCGTGCGACTCGTCTCAATGCTTCCTCCATAGCCAGTTCAAAAGAATCAAAACAAGCCGATGGCGGACGATAAACGCAAATTATTATACAAGTAACTAATTCTACGCAAGATAGTTCAATTGTTTGCTCAATAGAAATATTTACAATGTCTTGACGGCTTTTATATTCTACATCATTTTTTAAAATAATAATTGACCCGCCATGAATGGCATTGTTCCTAGCAAAAAAACTAGCTATATTATAATGTTCAAAAGGACAAATTATTTCATATTGTTTAAGCCAATGTTCTGTCAGACATAACACCCGTACATTGTTAGATTCTAAGAAAAGACTTAATTCTAATTCTTTGCTGGAGAAGCCACGAATATTTTGATGAATAATGACCATATCCTGTGGCTTAACCAATGTCGTAGATGTTAGTTTAAATTAACACATGTCACATTATTAGTATAATTACTAATATTACTAATTAAATCCGTTATACTACTTATAATGGGATCATAAATGTTATACGCTAGTAAACTAGCAATAGTCTTTTTTTGTTTTTTAGGAAGATAAAAATTACCTCCCGTCATATAATAATTTGTAACAAATTTGTTACTTTCAAAATAAAATATATCATTACAATGAGATGTCATCGAATAAATTAAATTATTTATACTATAAATGAACTTATTCTGTTCATTAGTCAGGGATTGAGAGTAGGGAAATGCGCATAATAATATTTTACCTATACCAAGCTCCACTATATTATATAATGATTTTATTAAATTAACTATATCAGATTTACGCATATGCAAACAATTCCCTAACGCTATTACTAGGGTCGTGTGAATATCATATTTTTCATTTACTATATTTCTTATAATCTTATATATACCTGATCCCGGAAAACAATTATTCATTACTTGTTGCGAGAGACGGTTCGATAATAAACTGCCTAAATCCCTGCCAAATTCATCTGAATAAATAATTGTTCTCCTGATGGTTTCATGTACAGTGCTGCATTTATTTACTTTTGTACTGTTTCGTGTGGGTAAACATGAAACGTCTGGTTCCGTGACGGATGAGATATCAATGTTCAACTGATTATGGTGGGACGGTTGGATATAGTTATCAGACTCTGGTGAATTACAGTGACATCTATCCGTAAGAGAAACAAACCGCTCCATGTTGTAGTTACCTAATTTTATTAAATTATCCAACTGATCAGAATATTCATGTATTTCATTCTTAGCTGATTCGTATTTCAAAGATAAATTGGACAACGAGTTCTCTAATAGTTTAATTTTTTGTGATAATTCATCTATTTCTAAATCTTTGTTATATATTTTTTCTTTACAATTATTTAATTCTATTGATAAGTCAATTTTTTGCTTCCTAGTAATAATTGATTTTAAACACTTTTTATGACTTTTCACTAAATTTTCTGATTTTCGAATAAATTTATTTAATTTTACATATTTTTTTAACTTCTTACTACTATTAATAGGTACTTTATTAGGACTATAGGAGCTAGGTGTATTTGTCAAATCTATGGTCACAAGGGGCAGAGCAGATGTTTGATCACTAGTAGTATTTAACATTTCTGTATACAGATCCATGGTCTCGTTATAACTACTCAACCGCCTGTGATCCAACAAAGATTTATTTTGTGATTGAACTTCCTCAAGGTGCCGCTCTAGATGAGTGATTTTCTGCAATGCTGACTCATATGTGTCTCTGCACAGATCATATTTATTTACAATTTCTTGAAGTTTTTCATTTTCGATATGTAGAACTTCAAAGTCTGTACTGATCTTCACTAGGTCATTCTTCAGAGCCACATATTTATCAGACATCAACTTAATTTCAATCTCACTTTCATCTCGTTCCTGTAATAAGGCCTTATTTAATTCATTGGATTTTTTTAACTCTAAGAGTGTCACCTTGAGCTTAGCATCAAGATCACATGCTCTGCGGGACATCATTTTTAATTATTATGTTAAATATCTACGAAACAAGACAACAATGAATATTATTCAATAGAAGAAATACAGTGTTGAAAGTGCGCTATTTCCCTTCAATAAAATAATACAATAAATAATTTAATAATAAATAAATAAATAAATATTGTTAGTAAAAACTTTAAATACCAATACTGTTACAAAAAAATAATTAATCTTATATATTACCACTACAGTAAATATGTCTTAATTTGTCATATGATATCTAGCAATGGCTATGGATTACTAATATTGTATTGTTATTTAATAAAATACATAAGTTTAGTTTCGCACAGCTATTTGGAATATATTATCAATATGATAATAAATAAATTTTATGAGCTGTATTGCAATAACAATAATATTTTATGTTAGTGGGTAGTTTTTTTTTTTTACCTCTCAACAACAACAACCGATCTTCACTATCGAATATTTAACTTTAATATTATTATTTATTTGTAAACGGATATAGTAATAGTGAAGTGTAATAACTGTATTTAATTATTAAAGGAGTCAATAGAAATCCAAGACTTCTATTGTAATTTACCAATACTTTGACAGTTGGCGGTCCCACAAATTTTGTAACGTAGATTTTTGTCACAAAGAAATCACAGATTTGCACACTAACAATAATCGACGTTACTTATGCCCAAAACTCACTGATTATATACACTAGTATCGTTATTTCACAAGTAATAAATTAAAAACAATAAATAAATAAGAGCCAACTGACAAAGACTGTTATCGGCAGTGTTGCCAGAGAGAAAAAAAAAATTATTATTATGTTATTATTATTATTAGTATTTTGGACATTATATTGTTATGTTTAGTTTTAACTATTTATGACATTTTTATTAAATTATTATTTGCATAATTTGACACTTCCTATGCCACGCTCTATTGTGTTAACTGGACGAGATCTCTTATAGAGATAAGTCCTCCTTTGTTAACATAATTTCTAATTAATATACTTATAAAATATATTTAAGTTTGATCAATTTCCTAAATCCAATTTTCCAGATTGCTTCTTTGTAACTATGATTTCGTTTCATTTATGTTAAGCAATATTCCAAAATACCAGATGAACTTTGACTGTACGTCAGCAAAGTCTGTGAGGGTTTAAATCCAATTTTAATCGCATAAACACTCTATCAAAACAGTTTAAACGTCAAAACTGTCAGAAGGATAAAAATTTCAATATGGATTGCTTTCGGCGCATTGCAGTATCGAGTGTGTATATGATTGGACAGGTCGTTTAAATTCTGTCACGTTTATTATAGAAATCAATTTGTCTGTCTGAATATCTTTGGCAGGATTTGGGCTAGAAATCTGAAAGGATATGCAATTGTCGGTATATAGATCTGGTCGTTGGCTTATTTTTATATCCAGTGAAATCTTATCATAATTATTACATAGTATAAAACAAAGTCGCTGTCGTTGTCTGTCCTTTTGTATGCTTAAATCTTTAAAACTACACAACGAATTTTGAAGCGGTTTTTTATAATAGATAGAGTGATTCAAGAGGAAGGTTTATATATATAATGCATGTACACCCGTGCGATGCCGGGGGGTGTAGTTAGTTATTATTATAAACGCGAAAGTTTGGGAGTAAGGAAGGATGTTTGATACTCTTTCACGTAACAACTACCGAACGGATTTTGATGAAGCTATGCAGTAATATCTATATATATATATATATATATATATATATATATACGCAGACTAAATCATAGGCTATATTTTTTTTATTTTTGTAAATATGGCGAAATATATTGTGAAATGTGAAATATATGAGTGTGATGCAGGCGATATTGCGCGGGGCAGCTAGTAATTTATATACCAAAACAATATATGCCAGGTTATTATATATATAACTACTAACTCGCCCCGGTTTCGCACGGGTGAACATGTATTGTACATATAGACCTTCCTCTTGAATCACTCTATCTATTAAAAAAGCCGCTTCAAAATCCGTTGCATAGTTTTAAAGATTTAAGCATACATAGGGACAGACAGCGACAGCGACTTTATTTTATACTATGTAATAATTATGATATTGTAATGTGTAAATTAAAAGTTATTTTTCATTTATTTTAATCTTCAGAACACTAACCCAAAATGGGCTCAATTTATCGAATTAAGTTAGTAATGATAATTCTTAAAGTTTGATATTGTTTATTACAACAAACTTTGTGGAGATTAATAAATTGAATTAGTAATGAAAGTTAAAGTTTAATCTAATGGATTAAAATATTAGTTAAGTTACACCATTATTGAAAACTAAAGGGTATCAAATATTACAAATAGAACTACATAAAAAATAATCATCAAAAACATAAACGACTACGATACATGAAAATACCAAAATAATATCATGTATGGAATTCAGAAATATTTGGAATAATGGACAAGTTTTATTAGGAACTAGCTGTTCCCGCGACTTCGTTCGCGTGGTACCTAACTTTATTTTTCTAAAATAAAAGTAGCCTAAATTACTCCTTATTACATCAGCTACTTGCCAAAAAAAGTCCCGTCAAAATCGTTCCAGCCATTTCAGAGATTAGCCGGAACAAACAGACAGACAGACAAAAATGGTAAAAAAATGTTATTTTGGTGTATGTACCGTATTTATAGTCATATGCATATAGTAAAAACGGTTATTTCAATATTACAAACAGATACTCCAATTTTATTTATATGTATAGATAACACATTTATACATGAAGGATGGTAGTGGTAAAGCTGCTGTTACCACGCAAAGGTCCGCTTAGAAGGCCTGTCACTCAGTTATGTTGTTACTGACCGTCGAGTCGGCCTGAGTTCAAACATTTCATTTGCTGGTTATCGGATAGACAGTTTTGGAACATGGGCAATCAGCAAATTCACTGTTACTATTTTCCAATAATTTGAATTTAAATTAATCTGTATTATTGTAAACTTGTACAACATTTATTTGAAAAGAATACGAACTTAAGTTATTCTTTATTAAATCAGCTACCTACCAAAAAAGTCCCGTCAAAATTCCTGGACCGATTTTGACGGTACTTTTTTTGGCAGGTAATTTTTTTTCTAAAATAAAAGTTATTTTAGAAAAAATCTTTTTTTTTGTAAAATAAAGTTAAATTCCACGCGGACGAAGTCGCGGGAACGGCTAGTCTAAAATAATATTCTTAATTAGTTTAATGTAGCGGATGAAGTCAGTAGTTAGTTAGTAGTTAGTTAGTATAGCTAGTTTAAGAATAAAATTACTATATAAACGTTTAGTTAAATATCACCACGAATGTTACCTATTAAAAAAATCTGATGTGGCGAATTTGTTTTTTTAACATTTTCATTGCTTAGTTTAAATTGTTCCGATTATTTTTACTTAAACCAACCTTGTAAAAAAAGCAATATTCAAGAAGAAAAAATATAAAATAGGTCAAGCCGTTTTGGAGTTTTAGCGAGACTAACAACCCGATATTTATATGTATACGGTTCTATTAAATTAACAATATACCTACGATTAACAAAAATCCCTATATTTTATATATATATATATATATATATATATGTAGATAAATATTTAGTTTTTCATAAAACTAAGATTATAGTCTATAATAGAAAATTGCATTTCGTTTTATAAACATTATTTATTATAATATTGGTCGTTATTGAAAAGAACTTTAATCAAATTCACACAAACAAAACGTAGGTACGACATTTGATAAAAATTCCGTGATACTCTTACAGCTTGTTGATTCAATTCCGTAAATGGCACGAGGCTATAGACATACCTAATACTAAATGTTTACCCAATTTAAAGATGATATATCTTAAATTAAATATCTTTATCAGCAGCCAATAATGATTAAAATGGTGATGATGATGAAATTTGTCTTTTTTTTATTGAACTAACATTTAGACTTGACAATATTCTTACAACAATAAAATTGCTTAGTAAATACATACGCGTTTTGTACACGTTTAGTTTATAGTTGAACAATTCAAATAATATTAAATAACAAACATAAAAACGATGTAGCGCGGTAACAAAATGTTAATTTAAGTCCTTATTAAATGCCCTGTTGACGAAACAAATATCAATTGTAAGCAGTTAGATAATAATTTGTATTCTAAATTGGATACCTCTTTTGAAGAATTATATTTATTTTATTCATATTAATTCAGAAACTACCACATCTTAAAAAATCTCTTTTTTGGTGACCACATTATCAAAATAGATATAGACAGTAATTTCAAATTTTAAATATAAAATGAAAGGAATGTGGAATATTAATGCAAAATAAAATTAAACAATTTAATATCTTGCAAGAACGGAACGGAATGTTTTCTGTATATTTTTGGATATCTATTATGGGATTAATTTTGTATTCAGGTAAATATATAATATATTTAATAATTACACTCGAAATTTATCTCTAAATTTATATATAATTATAAACTTTTAACAAAAGGGAGAGCATATTTTTTTAACTAGTTTTCTAAAAAATATCGAAATAAAAATAATATTCCACACAAGTAACAGTCTCAAGTTTTGCAGCAATCGGAACAGTTAGAAATCCTCGATAGATTTTATTTCTATTAAACTACGTGATATTGTTACCGTCGTATGAGCGATTAACCTTTGAAAATAACATTAAAACCATCCTTTTCACGGGCAAACTGTCCGCAGTCTGTAGTATACGAAAGTAAGAGTTTTGCGTAGTTTTCAAGTACAACACGTAAAACTTTATTGGAGCACAAAATGCCGTAACACTATTATAGCGACGCGTATATAGTAAATTGTATATAATGAGTTATACTTACACGACCTTGTGGAGTTGTTGTGTGTTGCGGTGCGGTGGTGAGGAGTCGAAGCGTATCGGCGCGCGGTATCTGCTTACGTAGCGAGCGCGAGACGACTGCCGCGGCGGACGGACAACCCTCCGTCTGTACTGTACGAATCCGAATCCCACTGCTTATCGACCTCCTCACTACCCCCTCGCCGAAGTCCCCTAATACGCCGCCGCGCCCTCCTACCGCGCACTGTTGCTAAAATGTAAGAAACCTTTAACAATTCATCTCTTATTATACTTGCTGACTACACGATCGATGACCATTGACGATGATTCGTTTCCATCCTGTGGGCATCGCGTCAACGATGTACGGTCCTAACTTTTTCGGTCATCGGTGACGGAGCGATCGATCCAAATTTTGGGGTGCTCCTAAGTGGCTGGCGGTGCAAATATAAATAAATAAAATTACGGTGCTGATAATATATACTGCAAAACCGCTTCGGATATAACTAGGGGAATTGAATGAGGTATGCAAACAAAATGCGTCAATTTTGTTTCAATATGTGACGAAAATATAAGTTAATAAAGTGATACGCATCAAAGGAATCGACAGACATAACTCTTAAATCATATATGTACAATAATTGTCATAACATCTAAAAAATTATTCTTAATTATTTTAAAGTAACTAATATTTAAATGGAATATTTTAGGCAACTTAACATTGACATGTAGTAAGGGTTTTACATACAGTATATAACAATTCTCAGTCTAAGGGACGAATATCGCGCCAACGAAATAAGCGCCGACGTATATAACTTAACAAGCTTACAAACTAATAAAATTGGACAATAACAAACTTAAAAATATCTTATATATAAAATTCTCGTGCCACAATGTTAGTTGCCATACTCCTCCCAAACGGGTTAATCGATTTTTATGAAATTTTATATGCATATTCAGTAGGTTTGAGAATCGGCTACTATCTATTTTTCATACCCCTAAATATATTTTATTTATTTTTTCGACTTAATATTTTATTTTCATTTTATTATTATATAGGATTGAAAAATACATACAACTCTAAATTTTCACCCTTCTAGCAAGTAACCCAATTTTTTAATAGCGATTTTAATTTATATGGCGAAACAACGTTTGCCGGGACAGCTAATAATTTATAAGGATAAGTGCTAGCTGCATCTCGTGATGGTACTCATGTTAATTCGCACAGAAATCTAATACATTTGTAAATACATCACACATTAGAGGAGGGCTCGTGAAAATTTGATATTGTTTGACTAAGGCTTAGAGTCACACAGTTCATGTAAAATAGATAGATAATAGATTTATTGCCAACATAACACAAATAATACAATTTACAATAAGACACAAAACAAGAAATAAATAATAACATGGAAGTTGGCAATAGGAGCTGCCTCAGCTGTTGCTGATATAAGCACAACCTTAGTGAGGTGCACCTATACAGCGCTGGTTTTCAGGCAGCCCCCATTACTCATAAAAAAAAAACTAAGATGCGGTTTTTTTACTACATACAGATACATATAGGTTAAACACAAAAAAAAATATCATGTAATTAAGTCTCTCCAGCCTCCTTTTTGCGACATTATAGTACATATCAATTTAAATAATAACACACAAAACTTTAAAAAATTATTTATATTTTTTTTTTATAAAAATTATTAAAATTGTTGTGACTATAATTTATAGATAGCCCCTACGATATGGTCCATCTGGGTACCGAACTTTATTAGAATTTATCCCGTAGCTTTAAGTGAAAAAATCGCGGCTTCGATTCCTTGCACGGCACAAATATTTGTATTCATGAGTATGATTGTTTGTATCGGTACAAAAAAAATATGTATGTATTTGTATCAGTTGTCTAGAACCTATGACACAAGCTTTAGCTAGCTTAACTTGGGTCTAGATGGCGCTGTGTGAATTGTCCTGAGATTATTATTATTATTATAACACAGCAATTCTTTTAATGGACGATAATGAAATTGTGTTACCATCTGCGCTGGTGGAATACAAGAGAAGCATGACTTGATGAACATGAGGTCAATCCAGTTTTTTTTTAGATGATAATGGATACATAAACAGATTATTAAACATCTTAGATCAAAACGATTTTTCTCACAATTATAATCTATGTATAAATACTATTATATTTATTTTGTACTATATTATATTTAATTTTTCTCTGACTGTCTTTTTTGGCAGATAGCTGATGTAATAATGAGTAAAAATATCATAGGCTTTCAAAAATAACTTCAAATATCTTTTATTTTAAAAAAATAAAGTTAAATTCCACGCGGACGAAGTTGCAGGTACAGTTATACTAACATATTTATCAACTTTAAAAATTACTCAGCAAGGTCTTGGGTCGTAAAAGTATAAGTAATCCTAGTAATATGGAAAACACATTATGCCGACCCCAAATCTTTTATGGGGGATAAAGGCAAAAAAGATAGCCATTGGTGACTAACTTTTAGAATGAGTTTGTTAATTTTACTGTGTTTATAAAAGAAGAAAATTTTCAAGTCATTTCTTCATGTAGGACATTTTAGCCGCTTATGTAGGTGTAATATTTTTGTATTAATATGTATGTAATTGAGAAGAACTGACAAGAAACTCAACAGATTTTTTTTTAATATTAAAAAGCAGTTTGCAGAATAATCCACTCGGTTTTAAGAATATGACTCTATTTAAAACTTCTAGAACCGCGTTATAATAGGTAAAAAATCTTCTGTTATAGTGAAAATCTATGATGGGATATTAATGAGTAACTAATCTACTTATGTTAGATACTAGCTGTACCCGCGACTTCGTCCATATGGATATTAACTTCATTTTAATAAAATAAAAAAAAAAATCTAAAATAAAAGTAGACTAAGTTACTCCTCATTACATCAGCTACCTGCCAATAAGAGTATCTTCATAATCGGTCCTTCCATTTCAGAGATTAGCCGGAACAAACAGACATATAGACAAAAAATGTTATTTAGGTGTATGTACCGTATTTATATTCATATGCCTATAGGTAATTATTATTCTGCAACGTGATGTAATAGCGGACTCTACGGTACTCATTTAAATGATATTAATGACACAGGTAGTCTAGACTCTGAGAGAGGTCATAGGCTACTTTTGAACGCGAAAAAAGAATTGTAAAGAGTTTAAAGTGGAGATGAATAGCATAGAATAGAATAGAAAATAATGTATATTGGGAGACTGTGAAGCTCACTTAGTGTGATGTAAATAAATAAATATTCTTACAAAAAACCGATGTACCTACCAGTCATCGAAGCCGAACTCTCGGGGTTGTCTTTACTTTATTTCAACCACCTAGTTCGCTTGCCTGTGTTTAATTTTCTCTGAGCTTTCTAAGCTCTTTCGGAGCTTCCAGTATTCACAATAGCGCATTATTGCTCACTTTGTGAACGATACTTCTATATCCATATACTTTGTTCTAGGGTTGCCAACTTTTCTTGACAAAAATAAAACGTATAAACTGGTTTGGATAGGAAAAAATAAACAAATATTTTTCAAATAGTATGTTTTTATTGCTTTAAATACATATTAACACTAGCTGTGACAAATGTTCACGATTGACATCTAACATTTCGTTCAGTAATTATAAATCGTTAAGTACTAATAATGAGTATTTTGTTTTACGCGTCACAGTAAAGGTTGGAAATAAAGTATTTTTGCATACTTTATTTGTATGTAAACGTATAAAGTATAATTACCAAAAATAAAGTAGGTTACGTTATTATAAAGTATCGTTGACAACCCTAGTTGCATCTGTTGATTCTTCCACTTCTTTACATAAAATAAAATAATGTTATTATGATGATGCGAAAATATTTTGCTTTTTATCTGTTTGTATACTAAGGTTTCATGTAGAAATATCTAGGATTAAAGAAAGCTTAGAAAAAACTCTCCCGAAAAGGGTGAAATAATTGTTGTCATAAAAATTATATCTTATATATAAAATTCTCGTGTCACAGTTTTCGTTCCCATACTCCTCCGAAACGGCTTGACCGATTCTCATGAAATTTTGTGAGTGTATTGAGTAGGTCTGAGAATCGGCCAACGTCTATATTTCATCCCCCTAAATGTTAGGGGTAGTCCATCCCTAATTTTTTTTTTTATTTTAAGGCAAAACACCGTTTGCTGGGACAACTAGTAAATATATATTAATCTTATATTTAATCGCCATGAAATCTTATATATAAAATTCTCGTGTCACAATGTTAGTTACCATACTCCTCCTAAACGGCTAGATCAATTTTTATTAAATACTAGCTGTACCCGCGACTTCGTCCGCGTGGAATATAACTTTATTTTTCTAAAATAAAAGTACCCTAAGTTACTCCTTATTACATTAGCTACCTACCAAAAAAAGTCTCGTCAAAATCGGTCCAGCCATTTCAGAGATTAGCCGCAACAAACAGACCGACAGACAGATAGACAAAAGTTGTAAAAAATGTAATATTGGTGTATGTACCGTATTTATATTAATATGCATGTAGTAAAAGACGGTTGTATCAATGTTACAAACAGACACTCCAATTATTTATATGTATAGATTATATTAAGTAGATCTGAGAATCGGCTATCAATTCTTGATACCTCTAAATGATAAGGTTTATCCAACTCTAACATTTTAATTTTAGTTTTTGACCATACCAAATATTTTATTTTTCTTATATCTTTATTATTTATTTTATAAGTTGCATTAAAACATATATACAACTCTAAATTTTCAATCTTCCATCATCAACCCCTATTCTTTAATAGCGACTTTAATTAATATGGCAAACCAACTTTTGCGGGATGAGCTATTACTTTCTTCTTTTTTTTTCTAAAATTTCTTCTTTTTTTTTCTTTTTTTTTCTAAAAAATAAATAAAAATAATTAATTTTTTATACCTTAGAACCGCTCTCAGATATCATAGTACTAACAATATCGAAATTACAATATATGACAAAGCAGCTAGTCAACATCATTACATAGTATTAAACAAAGTCGCTGTCGCTGTCTGTCCGTCCCTATGTATGCTTAAATCTTTAAAACTACGCAACGGGTTTTGAAGGGTTTTTTAAATAGATTCAAGAGGAAGGTTAATATGTATAATACATGTACATCCGTGTGAAGCCGGGGTGGTAGCTAGTTACATAGTATAAATCAAAGTCACGGTCGCTGTATGTCCCTATGTATGCTTAAATCTTT